TATAATAAAGCTTTGGCAGACAGGTATTGCTGGGTTTGCCTAAATCATGTCAATGTATCGTCATAATATCTACCGAATCGGATTCCAAGATTTGGGGAGAACACCTTACACCGGACCGATAGGCTAGAAACTATCACAACCCCGTATGCTCTTACTGCATCGACAGACGCCTGACCATTACGCTGCCTTGCCTTCTCTAATTTTTGTGTGATTTATTTGGGCCCTGTTCACCGTCACACTAGCCGGCCTATAGCAGTGCGTGGGCCGTGGTGCGGCGCTGAGTTGTCAAACCCTCGGCAATGACTGATTGTCGCAGATTGACGGCGCCGACATGAGTCGACGTGCAGTGCAGCCAACACCTGTAAGGTGGCGAGTGGTGCCGGGTAAAAGTCTGAGTATCCGGTGGAGTATGCACAGGCGAGGGCGATGGTAGACGGGACTGCAAGATTGAGACAGCGGGGACGGGACTGGGAACGAGGTGGAAGACGGAATGGAAAGGAACCGAAACGTAGGAGGGCGACACTAAGACGGGGGATGAAAATGGAACTAGACGAGACTAGATTTGGAAGACGGAACTGCAGGGCCGCAGCGACCAATGGGAGACGAGATGGCACTGGGAGGGGACGAGAGACGGGAAGGAATAAGAGGGAGTGCACTTGCAGTGAATCCTAATTCATTAACGGCCTAAACGGGAGATTTACTCGGGATGGAACTTAGAACAGTAATAACTAGAATGAAGATGGTTAGGGCCAGGGTATATGTTAGGGCCCGAGACTAAACCAGGACGACTGACGGTTGCAAGTTGCAGCATCGCACTGCCGCATTGCCGCAATAAAAGATCATTGTGGTCTGTTATTGCTTTTAGCAGCTCCGGTTGAAGTGAAACAAAAGCCAAACGTTGACACTATACCTACCTACGGTAGGTTACGTTTCACCGCACATTTCTCAAGATATAGGGTAAGGGCGGGTAAGAGTACGCGGGCGATAAGAGTACGCATCAGCTGTTTCGGTTGCTTAGCAACGCGGGTTTGTCGAGTTCATGAAGTGACATGAAGCCGCCAGTGCGTGCATGTCACCAACGGAACGTGGGCGTTGAGCGGCGACGCTGTTGAGTTTAAGGCGATGAATATTATTTTCGAGCGTTATGATATTATTATGATATGGTACAATAATTTTGATACTTGGCAGTTGAGATAAGGCACATTTCCGTTATTGTTGTGGGAAACTTGTGAGGTTATCTGGGGAAATACTGTACAGTGCAATATTCTGTTTGCGAAGTTTTGCACAACGTTTCGGGGTTCTTTGTGCGCGAATTGCATGTACGGTAAGAGGACGCACTGTTCAGGAGAGTATGAGTACGTAGAATTATACATTAAATCGAATATACAGAAATATAGAATTATTAATCTATCGCTCAATGACGATTGTTTTGTAGGTATATCATCAATGGAGCACTGTGATGCAGATGCGTACCCGAAATTCTTCCAAATACGAGTTATTCTCCTTTTTGATTGTGCATTTTTTTTTAAGAAACACACGACATGATTATTTCCTTAATTGACTTGAAAGATTTATTTTATGTTTTCTTTTTGGATACTAGAATTAACTTAACTGCCTTCTGAGTTTGAAGTTAAGCATTTGGACAGTGCAAGCTGCATAGGTGTGTGTTCATATGCTTGCGTACTCCACCCGCCTGGCGTGCGTACTCTTACACACCCCATAGGGTAACTGTGGGGAAAACGCACCCCTGGGTTAAACGCCTCCCCTTAAAAAATCGTATTTCTCATCGACGGATAGGTGTTTTATCCTGTCTTTCAGAACAGTCAGCTGCTTGTTTACGTAGGTCTCTATTTCCGGTTCTGCGTCTTGAGGAGCAGCGTGGGTAGGTGCTGATGTTGGTTTTGGGTGTTGTTTTTGTTGTTTTTACAGAAGATTCCTAAGATTTTGATGCCCTCTTTATAACACAAAACTTGCTATTGTGCACATCACTCAAAACTGCGTTTTATTGTCATTCTGTTGAATGTATTATGCTGCGGCGTTAGTGGCGCGTTTTTTGTCAATATTTTGTTGACCGGAAATGGAGTGGATGGGGCAAGACGCCTACTCGATGCATGGGGCAAGACGCCCCCAGTTTTCTGAAAGGGGGGCGTTTTGCACGGTGGTGAGAGTGCATGGTAGCGCCCTGTAGGTCGGGGCCGAAAAGGCCTCTCCCTGTCCTTTTTTGCTGATATATCCTTAACGACTGCAGATATCGTCACCAAACTTTCAGGACTCCTCCGGGCATCCATTTTACACATTGCAACAAAATTTTATTCCAAAGACTATGATAGGTTGACCACAAATGACGGCAGAATGACGTCAAGTTCTGCCATGTTCATCATTTTCTGTTGATGGATGGGGTGGGGGCGCTTTGCACATGGGTGTGGGCGTATTACCCAGGGTATGGGGCAAAACGCCCTTTTGTAAGGGTATGCGAAAACCTTTTTGGGGGGTTAAATACCACACGCAGGTGTCTTTTCTTGGTCTCAAAGCGTAGTAAAAAGAATGAGCTACATGATGGTGCCCAAAGGTTTAAGTAATCTGTGTTGGGTTGAGTGTCAGAAGGTTTCGCGCTTAAGGGGGGCGTTTTTGACCTATTCACCCTATGTAAGAGTACGCAAGTGCAACGGTTCAGAAAATGTCAGTTTTAGACCACTTCCATTTACGCTGAAGGATCGTTGCCCCATGGGTTGATGGCTAATTCAATGAACTTTAATATTCCTTGTTTGCGATTTCTTTCCTTCAAATATTAAACAAATGAGAGCAAGAAATCCACTAAGTGCGTACTCTTATACGACTTCACCCTACACACGCCGACGGTCGACCACAACTCACAGCATAACATATAGGTAACGTGATTCGCTTCTGTTATTGTGAAGGAATTGTGCGCTGCGTGACCCTAAAATAACCCAACATCAAACTATGGTATCAAACTATAATCACGATCGACACGAAGAGACGTTTGGTTTAGCAATTGGCATCTGTCGTATGCTAATAGGAATCTCAATGTAATAAAAATCGTTCTATCTATCATTGTCACACGACCGAATTTTCAGACATGCGACTGAAACTGAAGTGAACAATTGAACAAAGGCAAACAAAAGTTACAGGCTAAAACGTTCATCCACTCTTATCAATTGCAAGTTGCATCAGAGTTCATTTGAATTGCATATAAGAATATCGCGCCAACAGTTTCGACTGTTGTCCTTCCCTCTTTACCTTCTAAATATCCCCCCCCCGCTGCAGCCGACAAAAGACGGGCAAGATATGTTTAGTCACAAGGAACGAAACAGAATCCCACTCGAAAAACTCTCCCTCAATCTCAACGACCTTCAGAGGACGTTGTTACTCGATTTGAAATAAAATGAGTCAATCATACAGGAACTTACTTATGTATTGCCCTAGCTAACCATTATATAGAAACATGTGATGTTTGTTGTCCGTCTTTGAACGCTTTGTTTAGCTCTGTTATTCTGTATTAGGTCGTACCGTTCTCAATTCCGCAGCCACGTGTTTTTCCTGGTAATCAATAGATGGCAGTAGCAGGAACGCCTGAATGCATGCTGTACCGCAAGGCCCTAACACAAACTCAGTCCATAGACCATAGATGGCGCTAGTAACAAGCGCCTGAAGTTATGCTGTACCGCAATGCAGGTAGCTCGCTCGGCCGAAGCCGCGACTGAGTGGTTCTCTCTCGCTCAGTCGTGAGTTAGACGATCAACAAAGTTTTCTCAACAACGGGATCGCAGTAACCGCAAACGCCTTTCATTGCCGGAGCTCTCTTTTCACTGTCACGGATTGGAAATGACGAAAACAACATTCTGTCTACCCATCAATGCCACGGTAGCACTAGCCCACTCACACCTCACTGTGAGCTGGCCGCTTGCCATGGGTGCGCTGTGACCCCCATTAGGTATTTGGCCACAGTCCCGCACACTGGCTCAGATAGGGCCAAACTGAAACGGAGCCTCCTCTGTCGATAGGTCAACTACCGGCTCGTATTGTGTCGGGTTCATCGAGTAGAAAAGGCATGCATCGTCTGTTGAAGATCGATACTGTTCAAAAGCAAGACGATTGTCGATTCAAATCAAATGGAAGGCGGATGGTGTGAATCACAATTGTAATATGAGTGGGCATGTGCATTGGCAAAACACAAATTTAGGATATGCCAGACGAGTCCTTGCTAATTATCTTTTTTCAGTACGTATACCAACTGGGGTAGCCATTTGGGAGTAGGTAAGTACTCATTTCAATGGTCCCAGAGGACACGCCCATAAAAAAGAAATGCCCGTAATAAAGGTCCCTATCCCGGCCTCAGGCGACTGACCTGTTCAGTTTTGATTCACCGCTGTTGCCGAACTCTCTCAATGGGCAGGCCCACGAGTCCAGGCGTCGCTCTCCTCACATCTTCATTTCACCGGCTCCTCACACCCAACACAAGCCCCGACAGCTGCTGTCCACACACCCTCCAAGATCCACAAAGCACACCACACACCCTCCACTGTCCACAGTCGCGTCCACAGTCGTTGACTCTCCGCGCGACCCTGCTCCACCGAGCGTCAGACTGGTTCTCGGCCGTATGGTCGGTTAGCTCTGCCCGGTCAGCTGGCGGGCCCGATCGATACCTAGCTTCACCGCCACCCCGCCGCCGCCCGTCGCCGACGACGACACTGGGCGGGGCGGGGAGGGGCGGGGGCGGGAGGTGTCGCTCGACCCACCGGGGGTCTGAGAGGGTCCGCCGCTGCCGTCAGCACAGCGGCCAATGGCCAAATGAGACGGAAAATGATGGTGAGTGAAGTGGATGTGGTTTGTGGAGTTGGAGTTTGATCTTGGAAAGAGGGTTTGATTCGATATAGCGATACGAATATTATTTCGTTGTATGTATATGCGAATCATAACATAATAAAGACAGAATTTGACGAGTGTTTTCCGTGTGCCGAATGAATAGATTTTAAAAATAATTTCAAGTTGTTTATCAATATATTACTGATGAAAATGTTAGATGTTTTCGGAACGGGGTAATAACGCTAGCATGCACATGACACAGACAACGGTGAACGGTCGCATTCACAGAGTACGACACGGTACTAACACAATACATACAGCTCCAACAACGCCTTACTGACGTTTCCATCTCGGCGCAGTTTACAGAACACATCACTGAACCGGGAAGGGAACCCTTTCAATCTAAACCACCCCAACACACCGACATCCAACACTAACACCTTGCAGAGGCGTTACGCCACTCCAGCCACCCTGGCCACCAGGAGAGCGGCGGCCGCCGCTGCCGCCAGCCGCCACCCGTCCGGGGGTGTGCCAGTCGCCGGCGCCGCCGTCCCCGTCTGCAGGTGCAGCATCAGCCTGTCGCCGGTGGGGATGAACACGGGAGACAGCTTGCTGATGTAGTCGGCGGCGGCGTGACGCAGCGAGCCGTGCACCTGGCGGCTGCGGTTCGACACGGCGGCCGTCAGCGGACCGCCGGGGGCCGTCAGACGCGCCGCGAACGAGGAGGTCACCACGGCCGAGTACACGGTGCTGTCGTTGAGCGGCTCGTAGCGCGCCAGCAGACACTCGGCGCACACCACGGAGATGTTGAGCTGGGGCGGCCCGTCGTCCTCGGCCGGCCGGCTGACCACCTGTACCCCCGACACCTGCAGGAAGCCGGTGGAGCCGTTCAGTACGCGCCGGGTGCTGTTCTCCAGCAGTCCGCGCAGCTCGGCGCCCGTCAGCCGCAGCACGTCCAGGCTGGAGTCGTTCCGCAGCGCGTTCCGCATGTCGATGCGGTAGACGGCGCCGCGCTCCAGACTGGAGGAGACGCGGTGGCTGTCGAGCAGCGCCACGGCGGCGACCGTCCAGGCGCCGGGCGGCGGCGCCTCGACGGACTGCAGGGCCGCCTCCACCATGGCGTCGGCGACCAGGCTGCCCATGGAGCACTCGCTGTGCCGACACCTGTGGCTGCCGTCCAGCAGGAACGAGTTGAACCCGATGGACTGGCCGAGGATCAGACTGAGCGCGTGCGAGTGCTTTTCGACCAGCTTCTGTGTGTCCGGGTCCTTCTCCCCGTGCATGTAGACGGGGTTGGACTCGGACTGCGTGTCCAGCGACACCTCCTGGTTGGTCGTCACCAGCTTCAGCTTGCCGGCGTACAGCATGTGGAAGTAGTTTCCGACCACCATCTGGTTGGTGACGGGCCGGCTGCCGTTGCCGGACTCCGAATGGTGGATGGTGAGCGGATAGTCGAAATCCTTGTGCGCTCCGCTGGGCGGCGTGCCGTTGTAGAACATGGCGAACGAGTTGCCGGAGATGATGAGGTTGATCTTGGGTACCTTCTCCAGGATCCGCTTATCCAGCGCGTGGTGAGAGTAGCCCAATGCGAGGATGATGGAGATATCCTCAGACATTGATTCCAGTTCACTTATCCCGGCGTTGAGAGCCTCCACTTCGTCAAGTATTGTAATTCCTTTGATGCTCTTTGATAAGCTCTCCTTGTTGATGTAGCTAATGATACCAATCTGGAGCTCTCCGTACATTTTGATCATTGTTTTATGGCACATTTTGGCCAGATATCTTCCATTTTCAGAAGATTTAGAGAACTCCAGGTTTGTGCACACGAACTTTTGGCCGACAATCTTCACATAATCGGCTAGCGCGTCAATGCCATCACTCAACTCAAAAGCTCCAAATGCCATGGCGTCAAACGGCAACGGCTTGACCAATTCGGTCACTGCCTCTCGACCTCCATCGACTTGAAGCAGTCTCCCAGGTATAAATCCACCGGCATCGACGACAAGCAGGTTAGACCTAGCTTCCTTTAGCTCCTCAACAAACTTGACGAAACGTGCCAGTCCCCCATGGCAATTGGTTTTCTGCTCACATCCACCGTGTAATGCACCGCTCTCTGCAAAGTGCAAATGTACATCGCTGGTATGCACAACGGTGACTCTAGTCGTGCTCTGGGAATCGCAAACATTTATAATACACTTGACCAGATACAAGAACAAGAACAGCTGAGCAGTCTTCACCATCACGATAGACTGTTTATGCCATATCTTGCACAAATATCGATTTATACAACTGGGTGGAGTTTCGAGTGGTAACGTCAATAATCCGACCCGACACAAAACGAAAGTCAAAGCTACAGAACAACCATTTGATCCCAGACAGAAAAAATCTCACGATCACATGGCATCACGATCGCAGCACGCGAAATCGGCGCATTGGCCGCTTTCAACCAGCTTTCAACGCTTTCAACAGTCGGCTTCTTCGAGCCTTGCTTTTAGGGCCTTCTTCAACCCAGCGACGTTCCTTCACAATGTCAAATATATTCCGTCAGCACGTTGGCTAACTCTAACTAGAACCTCTGGTTATGAGTAACGAAAAAGTGAATCCATCTTCCCGTCGTATACCGAGAAAGCAAAGTAGCAGGCATAAATGAAATAAATCCAAATTCCAAACATACAATTATATTTCTCTGACATTACGATGAAAAACTCAACGCTTACTGAGGCATAAAACAAGGTCGATCACAAAATGTAGCTACAATGCATTCAGCCAGTGAATACATTCAAGAGATGGGAACAACATGAATCCAAACAGCCCGAAACAAAATTCAAAACTTAGCTATTCACCAGGCGAGCACACAGTTTTAGCGTAATGCGGCGCCAGCCTCAATTTCAGTTTCAAGCATCCTTTTAACACTGCACTCCCAATTAAATGATGCCACGACTCAGTGAAGTTATACACATGAAGAACCATGATCACGGTGCGATGATAATGAATAACAATCTGTACGGAATTTACAAATGGATGAGAGCTTCACGAAGATCACACACTATATGTACAGCCACCCAGAGCGTCACCATACCCATGGTTCCACTAAACTAGTCCGAATAGCTTTGGCAGTACATGTTTGTAACGAGGCCTCATGACGGGCACCTCTGCCAGATAATCGTGATCATTCCTGATCACACAAAGGACGAAGGAGCCGGGCCTGCCCTCCGGTGTCGGGTCGTCGTACCCGGTCTGTGTGGAGACCGACTCGGTGGGAAGGGCCGTGTGCCGGGGCACGGGCGCCGGCGCGGCGCTCGGCCGACCCAGGCCGCTCACACGGCCGAAGCTGCTGAGCGCCTTCCTCCGTCCGGGCGCCGGCAGCCGGTCCCAGTTCTCCAGGAAGGCGGACACGGCCTCCCGCCACTCCCCGTCGCTGTCACTGCTCAGACGGTCACAGATCTCCGTCGACCACTCACCCACCGCCCGGCGCAGCTTATCGACACTCGGTACACGCGCATCCGAGTTGAACGCGGCGGCGTCTGTGGGGCCCGCCGGAGCGGCGGGGGTGGAGGTGACAGCGCCATCGTCCAGCGCCAGGGGATCAACAGAGTCACTCTCCAGTTCACCACTCATCACGCAGTCTGTGGGGAGGGTGACGATCGACCCACCGGCCGGCACCGTCACGTACTCCTCCGGCGCGTCCGGTACCTCGCCGGCGGTCTCGTACACCACCACCCCCGCCGAGTCGGCCAGCAGCGCGTCCCCGGCGCCGGCACTCGGGTACGTGATCACGTTGGACACGTGAGGAGCCGTGGTCTGCAGACTGGCCACGGCAGCGGCCACGTCGCTCGAGACGGGCACCATATCGCCGCCCGGCACCTCCTGTTCCGAGGAGATGCCGAACGGTGCTGGTGCAGTCACCCAGTTGATGGGCATGTCTGTGGAATCTGGAAACGGAAAACCAGCCGGTCACGACGTGCATGACAAACCAAAAGGAGCACGACTCAATGCAGTTTGTTATAACAAAATTAGCATATACAGGCGATGTATACTTTGTATGCATACCAATTTCATTGCATAAAAGAACGTCAAATTTTCAATCCATGACAAGCAGACGGCGATTCGCCTTTCTACGCATGATTACAAACAAATCTCGCCATAATGCTTGTTGCCATCACTTTTCAATAAAACGAGAGGTCTATAAGCAATCATATTTTTAGCTTAAACATTGAATAAAAAGTAGATTTTTTTCCACCAATCAGTTACCAAGAGGAGCTGCAGTGTAGACGGTACGCAACTTGACGACACCTACCTAATTCAAGCGTGTCCATGAAGTCATGAGTGTCGTCATCTTGGTCACTTTCGCCATTGGCACAGTCGATGACTGCAATCGGTGAATGGACTCTTGGGGCATCTCCTGCACCTCCAGGCTTAGGAGTAACCAATTCGTGGCTGCCACTGGTCTTCGTCTTACCGGTAAACACATTTTTGAAGCCATCAGCGACCGGTGGAGCCGCAGTCAGCATTTTAACGCTACTGGCTGTAGGTGGCAGCACTGTCGCTACAGCGGCCGATGTAGGTGACGCCACGGTAGCTGTAGCAGCGGACGCAGGCAGCGCTGCCGGCAGGCCACCCACAGAGGTAGATACCGATACTGTCACCATGCCAGCAGATGTAGCTACTGATGTCGACAGCGAACCGCCGGCTGCCGAAGAGGCCGTGTGCTTCAGCGGCTTCTGGCCGAGCTGGCGTCGTTTCGCAGCGTCCTGTTGCAGCTTCCGCACCTGCTTTCTGGTCAGGTCGCCGTACCGCTTTCGATAAGTCTCGTAGTACAGTCTGTGGTGTGGGAAATAGTGATGCGGTCAGAAAGGTGGGTAGTTACAATTTCAAATTACAATTTCAATTTCAATTACAATTTACATTACATTACATACAATTACAATAACAATTTCAAAACTGTAAAGTCTGGGTAGGTGCGTGTCATGTCTACAAACAAGGTTAACTTTGCTCAAAATTCCTCTGAGGTACACACACTAGTTCCAAGCCACACCAATGACTGTCACCCACCCGTGTGGCCCGACAGAGCCATCCCGACCCGTCTGACTCACCGGTAGGCGGCGTTCTTGTCGGGCAGCACGGAGCGGTCGGATGCCTCCTCCAGGTACTTATCGCCGAGCTGCTCGAGCAGCCGCAGCTTGTACGTCTCCATAGCGCTGGCCAGCGTGTGGTGTTCGTCAAACAGCTGCAGCAGCGCCGCCTGCGCGTCGGCGCTAATCCGCCGGAAGGGCAGCGCGCGCTCCAGTGAGTGTGTGTGCGCCTGCTTGTTGGAGACGATGCGCATGTTGTAGCCATCGGTCGGCGGACGCTTCGAGCGCTTGGTTCTGCGGAGAGGTTGAAGGACCGTTAGGGGTAAAGTTTAGGCGACCAGTTGCAGTCACTGACTGGGTCCAACTATAGACACATGTAGAGACTGGTTGTTATAATTGTATCACGCATATGAGACATTACATCATCGATGATAAGCTCAACCCGCGCCCTCAGAAAAAAAAAAAAAATTAGACATCCCAGCAACTAACTCGTTTACTACTCTCGACTACTACTCCTCTAAATATTTCACCTCTAAAATGAAACCAGCAGGAAACTGACACCACCAACGATAGCTGACAATCCACAATGAGATATCAGATGACCTACCGTGTTGGATTTTCGATTTTCACCACTAGCATGGTGGGACATCCGAAGTCGCGCTTGGAGAACTGGGCCTTCTTTCTGGGTCGGGTCCGGGGTGCGGGTCGGTGAACACAGCAATATCTTCCCTGAAACAAAATACCATTAGTCAATAGGTACCTATGCGAAAAACACAAGAAAATTACAGCAGTCATAGACAATGCAGTCAGTTCCAGAAGCATTGAAGCCATACGCATCGTTTGTTTTAATCTGTGACATTGATACATAGCACCGTCAAACGACAAAAATAAAGAAACTTCAAGACTTTTGGGAACTATTTTCATGTAAAACGCAGACAATCGATGAGGTCCGAAACCGATGTAAATTAGATGTTTTTCTTTTATAAATTTAGTCCGATTTTTTTTAATGGAAGGTTTTACCAGGATAGAGCCTCACTAAGCGGAACTTGCTGCTTTGGCCCTGCCCTCTACCCGCCGATTCCTGGTCTATGGCACGTGCAGGACGCGTGCTCTCACCACGCGGAGTCCAACGCTCTACCGACAGAGCCAATTGCTTTCACCGCTACTGTTCCTTCATCGCACCGCGCTCCTTTCATCAGTTAATTGCAATCAGCTATCACAAACCCACTCACCATGAATATAGCTCTCGGTCCGCCAGAGAGCTTTGAGCTGGAAATGACGAATCTTCTCTTTGTGAAATCTTCAAACACATTCTTCCACGTCTCCGCACTTTCCTTTTGTGGCGCACACTTGTAGACGAAAATTGTGCCCTGCAAAAGTTCCTGGAAACAAACAATTACACACCATCAGAAGTACACTACCTAACATGCTAAAACGAAACAACAAAAGAGACACAATGTGCAAACAAGCCGGAAGAAACGATATGAAACCAGGGCTGCATAGTTAGAGCCATAAGCAAAGTCGGTCAGAGTCCGTTCTTTGATATTCTCAAAGTCGGGCTTGCCGAAATGTTATCAACTCTGGCTCCAGAGTACGAATCAACAATGCACAATACCCTTACCACACTCCCAAGAATGTATATACATCGACAGCTGCTGTGTAACACATGTAACTCCTTATAAGCGAGCAGCAATCCGAATACATTCCTGTACAGACTAGTGAGTTCTGTTTTGCTATTAAGACAGAATGAGAATAAAGTGCTCACCTCCTCAACACCATCGATCATGTCTATTCGGTCACAAAATACCAGCTTTTTTCCATTATCGTACTTTATAGTAAATTCAGCCTGTAAGAATACCAATAAATGTCAATATAAGCATGCCTGGTGAGTTCAAGGCATTATACAATACTTCTGTGGCAGAGATGGTAGGTAAATAATTTGAGTCAGGACTGATACTTAGGGGCAGCTAAAATGAAGAACAATTTACTATATGCAAACAACAATAGCACAAAATTACAAGCAATGACTATTGACTATATTATCCAGTGTCCACCTTTACTGTGGTATTATGAGCAAGCACAGATTCTTCATTTTCTTTAAACGTTCTTATCTAAAACCAAGAGTAAAAAAAAAAAACACTTACCTTTGACAACATTTTGACAACTAATGATTACACTTTACAGCCAATCTAAGCCTGTGGCTGGGTGCACTCCTACAGCTTCAGCATTTGACACTTGGATGACTATGCGAGGAGTGGTGCCCAGTCAATATCTTGATTCTGAGTCTTGACTAATGCCAAGCATACATAAAACATTGGCAAGTGAATGCCTGGCCAGTCTGGGATTTGGCCTATGAAAGAATCTGAAAAAACAGCGTGTTAATGCTTTGAAGTCTGAGTGAGTGGTTTGCTCAAATCAGGGAGACAATCTTTACTTACATCTCCTAAGGAGGGAAGTGTGGTGTGAAGCTTTCAGGCCATAGCAAGAGTAGAAAAAGGTGTACAGTCAAACACACCCAGGGTAGGCAAATCCAACTATAAACCACTATTTATTCACTCAACGTCTCTAGGTAAGATGCCTTTCCCTTTGCTCAATTTATGACAATTCTATTTTAGATCGCCAAAGTGAAATACTAACAAAGTTTAGCTAGGCATCATTATCACTGCATCAACTAATTCATGGATGTCGGGTGCCAGCCCAAATGAGGCATTTTACTGTATGTAGGTACCCACAATTAACCCTCGCCCGTTTGCTCCCATGCATTGGGGTGGGTGTCAAGATCACCTGAAGGCCAGACCAGGTCATTGACCTTTGATGACCTCGGTTCACTTTTTCTAGTTTGACATGTTTTCTTTTCTTCTTCAAAAATCTTCTCAAATAAAAAAGTTTCTTCAGCAAATATCGACATTAGTTCAGAAGAGGTATGTCGTGTCTAAAGTAACCCAACTGCTCGAGTTCTTTGGTGATATTGAAGATGCCTTGGATGAAGGGAAGTCAGTAGATACTGTGTATTGATATTGTAAAAAAAGCTTTCGACACAGTTCCCCACAAGCATCTTTGATCTTATGCTGAAGGTGGAGGCTGCAGGAATTGGAGGACACATATTAAACTGAATTAGAAACTACTCACATCAGCGCGAATAGAGAGTTGTCCTAGCAAGCTCCTACTTAAGGTGGAGAAGGATATGGAGTGGGGTGCCACAAGGAAGTGTGCTTGGGCCGGTACTGTTCCTTATTTACATTAACGACCTCCTGGATGGCCTCGTCTCGGATGGAAAATTATTTGCTGATGATGCAAAAGTTAGAGCAGTTCAGTTAGAAGTTAAAGTTAGAGCAGAGCAGAGCAGAGCAGTTATAGAGCAGTTCAACATGCTTTATATTATACAGACATATTGCAAGAAGACCTGAACAAGCTGAGCGAATGGAGCAGCATGTGGAAGCTGAAATTCAACAGTTCTAAATGCAAAATTATGCACTTTGGCAGGAGAAATCCTGAGATCATGTATCATATTGATGTTGTCCTGCTTCAACGAACGACTGAAGAACGAGACTTGGGCGTAATTGTTACTAATGATATGATGGCTCACGAGCATGTTGCCAGTGTTGCTGCATCAGCTAACTCCATGCTTGGTAGAATAAGGAAGACATTTACTTGCTTAGATGAGGTGACTCTCCCAGCTCAGTATAAGGCACTTGTCCGGCCACGACTGGAGTATGCAGTACAGGCGTGGTCCCCCTAACTGAGAAGGTTCAGAGGAGGGCCACAAAATTAATCCCAGCATTGTCCAAGCTGCCATACCAAGAAAAACTACAGAAACTTAGCCTCACAACACTGGAGAAAAGAAGGCAGGGGGGGATCTGATTCAGGTCTCCAAGATACTGAAAAAATATGACAAGATTCAAGAGAATTTTATTGAGCTGGAGACATCGGCGCACAGACACAGGCCTCGTGGACACAACCTGAAACTCAAGAAGGGGAGGTTTTAGAGCAAGAAAAGGTCAATGTTCTTTTCGGCAAGAATAGTAAATGAATGGAACAAGCTCCCTCACTGGGTTGTAAATTGCAAGAGTACTGGATACTTCAAAAAGCAGTATGACTACTTCATGTCCACTTATGATGAGAGGCAGCATCACGAGCTTTCCTGCTCCATTGTCCTCTTCTTCTAACTTCTGGGTAAGCACTTCTAGGTAAGAACATGTTTCTAGGCTAGTTTTTGGACCTGAATTCGAATTTAGCAACCATTTGAACATTTATGAAGTAGCTTTGGTACCTTCGTAACATGTTACGAAGCTGTCAGAGGCGGATAACCCCTACGAATACCCGGCAGGACCCCTACTTGGTGACCTGACCTGACCTGCCCCGACCTGACCGAAATGCATGAAGTGATCAAAACTAAAATGATACTCGTGATCAGCACCCCGAAAAAAAATAGTAGCCACACTTAACGACGTTCTAACAGGTTCCGATTTTCACGACTTTTGGGTCATTGACCTGGCCTGGAAGGTCAACCAACGACACAGGACCTTAAAAATTGGATGTCATCGGCTTCCTCTCGTCACGGGCAGCACGCTCGTCTTTCCGCGAGGCGCTAGCTCGATCAAGGGCGAAACGGCAGGGGGGGGGGGGGGTCCAACAGACCCTCCTCCCCCTTATACGTTCGCGGCTGGCAAAACACCAATACAGGCCAGAGATAATATAATTACGAGCGAGCGAGCGCAGCGAGCGAAGCGAAGTCCTTTCAAGGTAACGGAAAAATCTCAGTTTGAGCGGCCCGGCCCCGCCCAGCCTGTAACGCTTTTGAGAGGTTTATATCTCAGCAACCGCCGGACCGATTGGCCTGCGGTCTTCTTTGCTAAGTATCTCCCAACCCTTCTACCCCGTAATTGACTACTTTTGATGCATCTCAGTGACCGTCGTGGCACGTGCACGTGAAAAGTCAAGGGTGTTCAAGCTTTCTTGCAAAAGTAGTGATTTTGAGAGGCTCATATCTCAGCAGCCGCTTGGGCGATTGTCTTGCGGTAATTTTTATAGGGTAGCTACATCCCTTCTACCAAAGATTTGCCGACGACACGAAGCTGTATAGAAGGGTGCAAACCAGGGCTGCGGAGTCGATGGATTTTCGGCGACTCCGACTCCGACTCCGGCTTTCAAAAACCAGCTCCGACTCCGACTCCGGGAAGAATTGTCGACTCCGACCGACTCCAACTCCCGACTCCGACTCCGCAGACCTAGCAGGGCTGCGGAGTCGACAGATTTTCGTTGACTCCGACTCCGACTCCGACTCGGGTTTCTAAAATCGACTCCAACTCCGACTCCGACTCTGGTCACAACTGTCGACTCCGACCGACTCCGACTCCGACTCCGCAGCCCTGGTGCAAACCGCGCAGGACAGGAGATGCCTACAAGATGACCTGGACGCCGTTGCCGAGTGGCCCAAGGCCTGGCAGCTAACTACCATTCAACGAAGAAAAGTGCGCGGTTCTCCACATCGGCAGCCGCAACCCAGGGTGCACCTACACACTCAACGGCCTTCAACTCAGCGAGACGGAATCGGAGAGATCTTGGGGTGCACATCAACACTGATCTGAAATTCAGAAAACAGGCCGCAAGTGCCTGTGAGGACTTAATTTTCAAAGGCATCACCGGTGTTGGCCTTGATACGCAAGTCATTCCAAGCCATCAACTGCGACACTGTCCCCTGCTATTCAAGTCACTCGTTTGGCCCCATCTTAAGTACGGCTGCTGCATTTGGGGCCCCTTCTCCAAGGCAGACCAAAAGGCCATCGAGAGAGTGCAGAGACGTGCCACAAAACTTGTTGCGGACATAAGGCATCGGCCATACACAGAACGGCTGACGCTGAGACTCCTGGATCTCCCCTCTCTTTACTACCGACGACGACGCGGAGACATGATCAAGACCTATCAGGTGCTACACTGAGAGATACATGTACGCCACGAGGACTTCGTCACCCTAACACTGGATCAGAGAACAAGAGGGCATCCATGGAAGTTGAGGAAGGACCAAGCACAAGTGAGGGCCAGGAGACACTGCTTCAGCACGAGAGTGACTAGCGACTGGAACTCCCTTCCCTTGGAGGTCATCTTAGCCTAGCTCCTTTCCCTGGGCCTGTTCAAGGCGCGCCTGGATGCCCACTGGCATGGCATCTTTTTTTTTAACTACTCCGCCACCCATGATCAGGTGACCAGGGCGGTGTTTCACGGGACGCTGCTACCACACTGCTATCAAATCGCGCGAGCTGACGTCACACTTGTGGTAGTGTTGGAGCAATGGGCCTGTTGATGTTCCTTTCCATGGAAACCCAATTTGACACGTGTAAAAGCAGCGTGCTGCTATCACCGGTGAAACAGGGCCCAGGAGTGTCCCCGCCCTCAAACCCAGCGACTAGCAGAACCTTACGTTAACACCAGATAAAATAAACAAGTCGTGGCACTCCCTGCTAAGAAAGGAAATAAAACTCAAAAAAGCAAATGAGAGAAGGGGTAGCGGGTTTAGGCTGAGACCAGAACAGAATGTGAAAGTAGCCACTGCTGAAACCAGACAGATGAGTTGACTGTTCTCTACTACGATACCGAAAGCAACTTTCACTCAGAAGGGCATGCATTCATCGGTAAAAGTATACATTGAGTCCGAGTGACTGTTAAAAGATAGTTTTCAAATTCTTACATTATTTGACATCCTGAATCCAAAAATGATACTTATATGTCTTGGAAATAAAAGAAAAAACATAATCAAACCTGACCTAACCTTGCCTATTTACCTACAACCTACCAACCTACAAACCTACAACCTAACCTAACCTAACCTACAAACCTACCAACCTAAAACCTAAAACCTACAAACCTACAACCTAACCTAACCTAAAACCTAAATTTTTTGCTGTTACATATTTGTATCAACAGCGTCACAATTGTCCACTCGGAACTAATATATACTAATACCCATTCATCTAGAGTAGAAAAACAATCGCTCATTCACACGTCATGCAAACATAAGTGGGGATTCGCTCTGGTCAAAAATTCGGCATCCTATCCGCCACCAAATTCCTGATTGAATTAAAGGAAATAGTTCACTTTCACGAAATTATTTTTTTGCAACGATTTATGATTTTTTATGTTCAAAATAATCAGCAAAGAAAATAAAACCTTTTTATAACAAAAGATTTTTTTTTCTATATTTTGATATAGGAAGAACTTTTCAGTTTCTGTAAGGCACACGCGATCCAGTATGAAAAGAGCATGGGTCCCGAAAATTCTTCAGAAACAGAGAAATTATCGCAGCCACCGGCATTTGGGCGATCTGCTCGATCTGATAATGTTCCCTTGAATGTCCTAATTGATCAGGACGATAATTTCTCTAGAGTTCTCGTAGATAATTTCTCTAGTTTCTGAAGAATTTTCGGGACCCATGCTCTTTTCATACTGGATGGAAATATATGCAAGGCACACATCCTCAACGCAAGACACCTTTTTCGGGACGAGAAATAGAATATCTTTGCCTAGGGTGATCGTTGGGCTGTAAAAGCTCATGATTTATGCTCGTCTCAGCCCAAGCTACGGAACTGCTATTCCAGTTCAAAACCCATGTTAAAAAGTGAACTATTTCCTTTAAGCATTGCTCGATGAGAATGGGACCATCAGGCCAAGTGGCCTACCAAAATTCTCGAATACGTTATGGTATGGTATGGTATGGTATGGTAAGTGAAACTTTGTCATGCACATCATATACTTGAGTGATATGCGAAAAAAAATATTCACCTAAGGAGAAAACTGTCAAGTGAAGAGGTTAAAAAGTGAAAACACTACCCAAAAGAAAGAACATTACAAAACTTCTGATATCTGAACATTAAATTCAATAACACCCAATATTCCCGAGGGGTGTTCACGGGCACCGCGCCTATCGATGACAATAACTCACAAATGACGTAAGCCTGAGCTAGGACGACACTTTTTAGTTGAATGTGTTTTCTCCTTTAAAATTGTTTGAATCAAAATTGAAATACGAGAAACACTTATCTCTAGTAAAAAATAACAAAACCGCACATCCCCGCGCAAACAATCGCCGGCGCCCTGTGCCAGACGCGGCGCAGCGCGCAACATACGACGCAATCAAGGATATTATTTTGTTTTTGCTCAAGGCTTAAAACACTGAAGAAATTCATACCATATGGCATCGATTTACGTAGGGTCTTCATTCACAATATACAGAAATTGAAATAAGACTATCGAATTTGGAGTATTTCCATTCGCAGGTGTACGAACGTTTTCAAAAGTGTGGGGGGGGCAGGCTCTCAGAGGCCTAAACCTCCCCTACCCCCAAAATCCATTTTCTCCTCGGATTTCGGCCACTATATTTTCGCAAGCATGCTCAAATTAATTATAAAAAAAAACATGACAAGACAATAAATCGAGTAGTAAAGTAATCTTGAATAAATCTGCCAAAATCTCAGGGACACTCTCGTCCAGAAATTAAATCTGATGAACTCGTCCCCCTGGCCTCCGCAGCCTCGTTGACACCAGGGGCGGATCCAGGAAAACTCCAAGGGGAGGGTCATGAATCGAAGTGGCACCCGTACTTATACCCAAAATTAAAAACTCAACGGATTTCGGCCACATAATTTTGGTGGTGCCCTAATAAATTTTTTAATATTTTTCATTTATGGCCCTGGCAGGCCTGTGGTCACGTGGTGCCTCCGGCGAGCCGCCTGTGGTGCCCCTGCGAGGCCGGTGGTGCCCCTGCGAGGCCGTGGTGCCCCTGCGAGGCCGTGGTGCCCCTGCTAGGCCCCTGGGCCCTGAAAGGACTGTGGTGGTGCTCTTCACTCCTGACAAGCCTGAAGTGTCCCCGGCAGGCACGTGATGCCTTTAAAGGGATTATCAGGGTTTAAAAATTGAAAGGAATCGGCATAAATTTCCAATCAATGAACTCCCCAGACTCTGCCGATTCTAAATATATGCATAAAATGTAAATCGGTACCAAAATTTGCGAGATATAGCCGTTTCAAAATTGACAAAATTGTACTTACTCACGCAAAACAAGTACTTGGGCGGCCAAGTTGGCCCATCACTAAAATGTAAACAAAAGACGCGTTTACATAGGGTTTGTTGCAAGCTTATATCTCCGTCCGTGATGTTGCAAAAGATACCAATGGTGCTGAACAATTTACAAAATGATCCCCTCTAAATATTTGAAGACCACTGCATCGAAATTATCGCCAAATTAACGAGCTAGAGCCTCGTCAAGTATGCTATGTAAACCGGGTTAAAGAGCAGCCTTGGGAAATTTCGCCAAGGCCGCCGCACCGCACTGTCGATTTCCACAAGACGGGCCTTGTCTGTTTTGTTTTTGTCTGTTGTTTTTAGGGCCTTGCAACAAGATTTCAGTGCTTGGCATTGAATTTGGATATGAACAAATTGAAGATTTGCTTTTCAATAAGACAGCAAGAGTTATCAACATTGCCAAAGTTATTATTTTGATTTGGGTGTGATTTGAATAGCTTGAGCTTGTTTGCTGATCATCAAATCTTGATTAATATCATTTAAATGTCAACAATTTTCAAGGGTAAATTTCAAGGGCCTAAGGTGCCCCTGCGAGGCCAGTGGTGCCCCTGCTATGTCTCGGGTGCCCCTGACAGGCCTATGGTGCTCCTGGAAGGACTGTGGTGCCCCTTGGCCCTGACAAGCCTGAGGTGCCCCTTACAGGCCCGTATTGTATTGTATTGTATTGTATTTACGATCATGGGCGATCCACACATGGCGTGGCGATTACTGCCCCGATTACTGCCCTCGCAGGGGCACCTTAGGCCTGTCAAAGACATCACATGCCTGACGGGGACACTTCAGGCTTGTCAGGAGCACCAACGTAGTCCTGTCAGGGCGGCACCAGCGGCCTAGCAGGGGTACCACGGCCTCGCAGGGGCACTATGGGCCTTCCAGGGGCACCACCGGCCTCGCAGGGGCATCTTGGGCCTGTCAAAGGGGTCCCCTTGACAGGACTACGTTGGTGCTCCTGACAAGCCTGAAGTGTCCGGGCACGTCAGGCACGTGATGTCTTTGACAGGCCTAAGGTGCCCCTGCGAGGCCAGTGGTGCCCCTGGCAATCCTGTGGTGCCCCTGGCAGGCCTGTGGTGCCCCTGACAGGCCTATGGTGCTCCTGGAAGGACTGTGGTGCCCCTTAGCCCTGACAAGCCTGAGGTGCCCTTGACAGGCCCGTAGTCCCCTTGACAGGTCCAAGATGCCCCTGCGAGGCCGGTGGTGCCCCTGAAAGGCCTGTGGTGCCCCTGAAGGTCTGTGGTGCCCCTGGCAGACCTGTGGTGCTCTTGCTAGGCCGATGGTGTTCCTGACAGGCCGGTAGTGCCCCTGTCAGGTCTGTGGTGCCCCTGATAAGTCGGTGGTGTCCCTGGCAGGCCTGTGGTGTCCCCGGGCCCAACGGGGACATGACCCGTGTGATCCCTCCCCCTTGGATCCGCCACTGGTTGGCACTTGGCACCCATGCGAATTCCAAAATACTGTTTTATTACGAGCGAGCGTGAAACGTGAACAGTGAAAAGTCAGCAAAAGGTGGGGGAAGGCAGTTAACGTTGCTGGCCCCCCATCCGAAAGTGGGGGACCATGGCCCCCTGCCCTCCCCCCTGTTCCTACGCCTATGGTGGCTGCTGAAGGCATCAGCACTGGCCGAGTACGGCTGCTCTGTGCCAGACGGTTTGTTTCTGTGGGTGCTGGCCCACTAGGTGTTCTGCATGACTCCGTCGAAAAAGGCGTACGTACTCGCCGACCTGCAGTTCGTGCAGCACTACGTGTTTGAGTGTGCGAGAGCCGCCAAGTGCTTTGTGCCGGAAGGCTGGCATAGGTTGTCGGTGTCCGGCGTATCGCATAGGTGCGAGAGCGGGCTCGTGCCGCTGGTGGGAGCTCCGCAACTCGGGCCTCGCGTTGAGGGCGGCAGGGCAGCCCTCGGACTTCCCCGCAAGCTTTTCCTGTTGTATTGTTTTTATTAAGACCAAGGCTGCCTGCAGTTGCTGGTTACCTATCAACTACCCCAAAACCTCTGTGTGTGCGAGTCTGTGGTGCTCCGAGATTCCGCGCCGGGCCGGGGGGGGGGGGGGGGGTGGTCTGAACACCCCCTTCTAACTCGGCTCCTGGGCCACGTAGCGACACGCGGTAAGCGGCACTTCGAAAGAACGTCCAAAATAAGGACGAAAACACTTCGGTCATTTTTTGGGTCAGGTCAAAGGTGAGGCCACCAGAGGTCACCAAAGGTAAAATGTTGACTATTTCAACATTTTGGAAACTGCCGACGGCTATCTCGGGAACCGATAGAGCTACAGCGCCGCGGAAAGGCGCATTCGATAGCCCTTTTACAGGCCTTTCTGAGTGTTTTTCTCAGATTTGACCTCAGATCAACGGTTTAGCCTTCAGAGGGCAAAAACTCCAAAAATAGCCGTTGTTACGAAAAACGTTTTTTTCGGCAATAACTTTTGACTCAAAAGAGCCATGACATTACTTTTGCCAGCATCGTGTTCCTCTCGTCGAGACGCGTCGAATGAACTATAATTTGACCTTGAAAGGTCAGCTTGAAAATTTGACCTCAGGTCAAGGTCATGACCTGACCGCGGAAAAGGTCATGTTGGATATCAGTCGATCCGCAACTTCGAGCCGAACACATCTAAGGCGTTTTCAGCGCTCTAGCACGCATCCATCAGACGTTATTAGCGAAAAACTGTTCGATTCTGTTCGTGACCCAAGATAACCTCGGGGACACAACGAGGGGTCACAGTTGCCATTTTCCGGTTCAGTGTGTCAATTTTCCCTACATCTCAATGTTTGAGAGTGCCTAGAATAGCGTTCGTGCAAAACAGACGCTTTTCATTTTTCTCCCATTGACCAGAAATTTCAATTTTCTCCCATCCCATTTTCTCCCAATTAGGCCGCAAAATTGACCTGACCCTAGGTCACCGATATCGAAATTCCGAGATATAGGTACATTTTATAGATAATGTTGCTCTTACCAATCGCTGAAAGTTTCAAGGCAATCGTTCAGTCGGTGTAGCTATGACGAGCATTCTTATTTTTTCTGAGGTGAGGTCACTTGGCGTGACCTGGTGACCTGACCTAAGGCGACCTGGGTCTGAAATTTTCACAACATGTGGGGAAAAGATGCACGAACAGGTGTGCCAAAAAGGGCGGCGCGCCGCCGTTTTTGAGATATCTGCGAAAAACCGCAGGGGAGGTGTTCAAACACCCCCCGGCCCGGCGCGGGTTAAGACGGTCCAGGCTGTCCCGAATCTGGCATAAACCCGGCTGAATCTGGGCTGCATTTTGCGGTCTTGACGGAGGCATCAGTTAACAAATACCGGAGAGACAGACCTATACGATATGATTGAGTTCCACGCAAGGAAGGTATACACAATAGTAATACACATATAGGTATGTAGCTACATTAGGGAAATTTGGAGTTGAATCCCATATACTGTCAGTTATGATAAATGATCATGCAAATGCAAATGACTGTAGTATACCTCCCAGATATAAACCGCTTCGCTCGATATCACTTTTTGTTTTGACATCGTGCGCCTCTCCTGTTCCCGCGCCGCCTCGTCTGTCTGCCTTCAGCCGACCGTTGCGGTGCTCCGCCTTCTCTGCTCTCATTCGAATGCTAATAAGCGGCCACCCAGCTCTTCTGCCGCGTACGGCGGGAGATGACCCGGGCCGGCGACCTTGGGGACCGGCAGGGGGAGGGGCGGAACCAAGGTCAGCTACCACACCGCGCGCCGCGCCGGCCGCCGCGCCGCCCCCGTTTTTGCGGGCGCATCTCACGTCTGATCTCGATTGCTGACCCGCGGCTGATGGGCGGAGCAGTCTGGCGGCTTCACGTCAGTTTACGTCAGCTGCCGGCCGGGGTGACGCTGGGCCGGGTTTTTGCGCGGACAGATTATAGTAGGGAGTGTTTGGCTAATGGTCAGGGCTCATTTGGAACGTGATGTATGCATGCATCAAACATGACGTCAAACGTGAAGTGTACTAAAGAGCAGGCCTAGTTGCTAGAAATGTGTGCTGGGTGTTGTTATGTAATGCATTTGCAATATGTACGAGCA